TGGTCTTTTCCATGGGGCTGATTTTTACAGCACAAGAAAAGAGAAAGTTAGCTTGTTTAGTCTGTACCTGGCAAAGCTGTCAGTTTTGTAAGACTTTTAAGAGTGGGGTTTGAGCAAATTTCTGTGTCACCAAAGGCAGGGATGTCTTTCAACATGCAGTAAATTGAAATTTGTTCTATTGACTTGGACTTCTTTGGGCGGACAGCTGCCGTTTTTTTTTTCAGTTCCCCCTTTGTGTGAACTGTGAGAAACCATATGGTTTAATGTTGAGTATGAGTTGCAGAGGTTGGCACATGTCTTCAGTGACAATTTATGTATGTTTATGGTCTACAGAGGCTTTGATCTGTGTATACACTGCGGATTAAATCAAGCTGACTAACATATCCCTCAACTCACTGATAATCATACTTGCAATGAGAACATTTAAATCTACTCTCTTGGCATATTTAAAGTACACAATGTTACTCATTATATTGAGTCACCATGCTAGACAATAAATCTCCAGAAATTATTCCCACTCCTTTCATCTTCTCATTCCCCACCACCCTCCCAGCCCCTGACAACCACCTCTCTTCTTCTGTGAGTTTGATTTTTTTTTTTTTACACTCCACATGTAAATGACATCATGCAGGATTTGTCTTGGTCTAGCCCATTTCACTGAGTACAATGCCCTCCAAATTTATCCATGTTGCCACAATAACAGGATTTCCCTCTTTGTAAAAGCTGGATAGCATTGCATTGTGTTATCTTGACCACACTTTCTTTATTCATTCCTGATGAGTATGTAGGTTGATTCCTTATCTTGACTACTGTGAATAATGCTACTGCAGTGAACATGGGAGCACAGGTATCGCCATTGCATACCAATTTCATTTTCTTTGGATATATACCCAGAGTGGGATTGCTGCGTCATCTGATAGTTTTAGTTTTTTGAGGCATCTCCATAGTGTTTTCCATACTGGCTATACTAATTTACATTCTGACCAACAGTGTACAAGGATCCTCTTTTCCTCACAGCCTCACCAACATGTTATTTTTGTTTGTTTGTTTTTTAATAAAAGCCATTCTTACACGTATGGGGTGATACCTCATTGTGGTTTAACTTTGTGTGGCCCTGAATAATAGTAGTGATCTTGAGCAATTTTTCACAGACTTATAGCAATTTGTATGTGTTCTATCAAGAAATAGCTGTTCAAGTTTTCTGCCCATTTATTATCAGGGTTATTTGGTTTTTTGCTGTTGAGTTGTTTGAGTTCTGTGTTTTGTCGTTTTTGTTTGTTTGTTTGTTTGTTTGTTTTCTAGACAGGGTCTTGCTCTGTCATCCAGGCTGGAGTGCAGTAGTCACAGCTCACTGCAGCCTCTACCTCCTGGACCCAAGTAATCCTACCTGTAGCTGGGACTACAGGCACATGCCATCATGCCCCGCTAATTTTTCTTTTCTTTTCTACTTTTTTTTTGAGATGGAGTCTCTCTCTGTCACCCAGGCTGAAGTGCAGTGGCGCGATCTCGGCTCACTGCAACCTCCGCCTCCTAGGTTCAAGTGATTCTCCTGCCTTAGCCTCCGAGTAGCTGGGACTACAGGCGCCCGCCACCACGCCCAACTAATTTTTTTTTTTTTTTTGGTATTTTTAGTAGAGACGGAGTTTCACTGTGTTAGCCAGGATGATCTCGATCTCCTGACCTCGTGATCTGCTCGCCTCGGCCTCCCAAAGTGCTAGGATTATAGGTGTAAGCCACCACGCCCAGCCCATGCCCAGCTAATTTTTCAATTTTTTGTAGATATGGGGTCTCACCATGTTGCCTAGGCTGATCTTAAACTCCTGGGCTCAAGCGATCCTCCCACCTCGGCCTTCCAAAGTTCTGGGATTCCAGGTGTAAGCCACCATGCCCAGCCCTATTTTGGATATTAACCCCTTATCAGATATATGGTTTGCAAACAGTCTCTCCCAGTCTATAGGCTACCTTTTCATTTTATTGTTTCCTTTGCTGTACGGGGACATTTTTAGTGTGACACAGTCCCATTTACTTATTTTTGCTTTTGTAGGATGGTCTTCTGGTGTGATAGCCAAAAACTCATTGCCAAGGGCGATGCGAAGAATTTTCCCTATGTATTCTCCCAGTAGTTTTACAGCTTCTGGTCATACTTTTATGTCTTTAATCCATTTTAACTTCATTTTTCTTTTTTTCTTTTTTCTTTTTTTTTTTTTTTTTTTGAGACCAAGTCTCACTCTGTCACCCAGGCTGGGTGTGGCACAATCTCGGCTCACTGCAACCTCCGCCTCCCAAGTTCAAGTGATTCTCCTCCCTCAACCTCCTGAGTAGCTGAGACTACAGGCTCCTGAGAGTACAGCCACCACACCTGGCTAATTTTTGTATTTTTAGTAGAGACGGAGTTTCCCCATGTTGGCCAGGCTGGTCTTAAACTCCTGACCTCGGGTGAGCCACCACGCCTGGCCTCATTTTACTATATGAAGTAAAAGAAGGGTCCAGTTGCATTCTTCTGCCTGCAAATATCCAGTTTCCCATCACCATGTATTTAAGAGATCGTCCTTTCCCCGTTGTGTGATTTTGGCACCCTTGTCAAAGATCATTTGACCATGAGTTTGGATTTGTTTCTGGGCTCTATTCTTCCATTGTGTGTTTTCGTGCCAATGTTGTAACCGTAATAGGTCTGTTGCCCCGTGAGCACAGCATGTCTATACAGCAGGTTGCAGCAAAGAAAGAAGGTTTACTGTCAGGCTGCAGAACAAGGAGGTGGGATGAAAACGAAATCCGTCTTCCCAAGGAGTTTGGAGCTAGGGTTTTTAAGGGTTTTAAAGTGTGGAAATCACTGGTTGAAGAGTGCAGGGTGCAATCATGAGAAAGGAAGATGAAGAAATTATTCTCATGCTGATTCTGTTGCTCTGTGGATGTCTTCAGATTGCTTGGCATCAGCTATTTCGCTGGAATTTGGGACCTGAGAAACATCTTACGCAATTCTTAAAAGCCTAATGATTCTAACATTAGAAATTCTGTCTATGGGAACAGTGGGAACTCTGTCTCCAAAAAAAAAAAAAAAACTTAAAAATCTTTTCATATTGTTTTCCAGTCTGTATTTTACTTATTTTTTGCTGTAATCTTTATTATTTCCTTCCTTCCTATCGTTGGACTCCATTTGTTCATTTTCTGGTTCCTTGAAATGTTTGTTTGAGATCTTCCTTCTTTCGTGATATAAGTATTTATTGCTATAAACTTCCGGCTTAGAACTGCCTCTCTTGCATTCTTCAAGATTTGAGAATGCTGTGTTTACATTTACGTTTGTTTGAAAATATTTTTACAGTTTCTTCCCCGGCCCATGGGTTGTTTAGCATCACGTTGCTTAATATCCACATATTTTTTAATTTACCTAAATTTCTCCCGTTATTGATTTCTAGCTTTATGCCCTTGTGGTTGGAAAAAATCATTCATATGATTTCAGTCATTCTAAATTTCTTAAGATTTGTATCACGACCTAGCTTGAGAAGAATGTAATGCTGCTGCTGTTAGAGAGGTGGTGCAGAATACAACCATTAGGCGCATTTGGTCTAAAGTGTAATTCAAGTCCAGTGTTTCCTTGTTGATTTTCTGTCTGAATGATCTTTCCTTTGTTGAAAGTAGGATCTGAAGTTCTCTTCTATGGCTGTATTAAAATCTAACCCTCCCTTGAGATTTCTTAATGTTTGCTTTATGTATTTAAGAGCTCCAATGCTGGATGCATACATATCTATAATTAATATATCATCTTGACTGATGGACTGATTTTATTATATAATGACATTCTTTGCCTCTCTTTACATCTTTACAGTTTTTGATTTAAAGTCTATTTTGTCTTTTTTTTTTTTTTTTTTTTTGAGATGGAGTCTCGCTCTGTCACCCGTGCTGGAGTGCAGTGGCCTGATCTTCACTCACTGCAACCTTCGACTCCCAAGTTCAAGCGATTCTCCTGTCTCAGCCTCCCGAGTAGCTGGGATTACAGGCTTCTGCCACCAAGCCTGGCTAATTTTTGTATTTTTAGTAGAGATGGGGTTTTGCCATGTTGGCCATGCTGGTCTCAAACTCCTGACCTCAAGTGATCTGCCCACCTCAGCCTCCCAAAGTGCTGAGATTACAGGCGTGAGCCACCATGCCTGGCTGTTAATCTTTTTTTTTTTCTTCTTTTTTTGAGACAGAGTCTTGCTCTGTTGCCCAGCCTGGAGTGCAATGGTGCAATCTCGGCCCAACCTCCGCCTCCCGGGTTCAAGCACTTCTCCTACTTTAGCCTCTGGAGTAGCGTGCACCACTATGCCTGGCCAATTACTGTCTTTTTTAGTAGAGATGGGGTTTCACTATGTTGGTCAGGCTGATCTTGAACTCCTGACCTCATGATCCACCCACCTTGGCCTCCCAAAGTGCTGGGATTACAGGCTTGAGCCACCGCACCCGGCCAATCATTTTTAAAAATTAGGACTCCCTTAACTTTCATTTCTTGTAATGGGATTAATGCAGGCCAACTGCAAAAAAATTCAGTCCTTTAAGGAGTTCATAAAGAAGAATCTCAGAATTAATTACCCATAATTCCATCTAGAGATAATTACTGTTAATCATATTTTGGTATATATGTTTATAGTCCTCCACTTCCCATCTAAACATGTATGTGCTTTTGTTTCTGGAACATTAAGTCTTTCTAATTGATAAAGTAAATGAATCAAAGACTTTCCAAGTGGTGGTTTGTAAAAAGCATCCAGCCCAGCCACGGGTCGCATTAGACCTGCGACCATGTGGGGACGGGAGGGGTGTGCCAGTGATCTTTGTCTTGTTTTGGAAAACTTCTCATATGTTTATACCTTATAGGATTAGAGACACATCATTTGAAATTAATCCCATGGCAACAAATTATTAAAAAATATAGTACACCCTTGGAATGAGTTCTGCATCTGTGGATTCAACCACAGATGGAAAATATCCTTGGGAAAAAAAATAGGATGTTTGCATCCTATTTTACAGATGCAAACATCTGTATTGAACGTGTACAGACTTTTCTTCTCATTATTCTAAACAATACAGTATGAAAATTATTAGCATTAGATATTTATAAAGAATCTAGAGATGATCTAAAATGTACAGGAGGATGTGGATAGGTTATGTGCAGATACTACACCACTTTGTATAAGGGTCTTAAGCATTCAAGGATTTTGATATCCAGGGGGGTTCTGGAGCAAATCTGGTTCTGGAACAAATGGCTCTACAGCCTTTCAGAATTAAATTTTCTGTGATTTTAATGGTTCTTTCAAAGACTGTGACAGTAATCACTGATGCCTGTTGTCTTACAAATATGCTTGTACAAGTAACGTTTCCATGATTATATGTACAAGTAAAAAATACCCACTAGACAAATAACAAATCCAAGATAAGTGAAACTGAGTACGATGGCAATTAAAATGGTTTGCGTGAATGTCCTGTAACACATAGAACACATGATTCATCCTCTTGCTAATGTTCCCAGTTTAGCATCTTCTAAGATCATATTATTTGAGCACAATTTTTGATGCAGAATCATCTCTCTTTTCCCCTGCTTGCTTGTCAGAGGGAACATTTCCTCCTTATGTGTCCTAGAATCTTTTCACCTAATGTGCTTAAACAAGACAAATTTCGTTCTTAACATCAGGCTCTGAAAGTTCTTTTTGGTTAGCATTCACTATATTGACAGCTGGTTTGGCAAGTACATGTTTTAGTATAAGGAAGAAACAGCAGGCCAGGTGCAGTGGCCCTTGTTTGTAATCCCAGCACTTTGGGAGGCCAAGGAGGCAGATTGCTTGAGCTCCGGAGTTCAAGGCCAGCCTGGGTAGCATAGCGAGACCCCGTCTCTACAAAAAGAAAAAAATTACAAAAACTAGCCAGAGGTGGTGTTGTGCACCTGTAGTCCCAGCTCTTAGGAGGCTAAGGTGAGAGGATGACTTGAGCCTAGGAGGCAGAGGTTGGAGCCTAGGAGCCTAGGATCAGTGTTTGAGATCGTGCCACTGCTCTCCAGCCTGGGTGACAAAGCGAGACCCTGTTTCAAAAAAATTAAAATAAAAACTGCAGATGAGTTTCTTTTTTAAAACTGGATTCAGGATCAGTGTAATGTTACTGATCTTCAATAGTAACCGCAAACTTAAAAAATCTTTACATATTACTGTATTAGATATTCTGATAATTAATAGTTGAGACAGTCATACCTTACAGTATTATTATCCCAATTTTATTAGTGAGGCAACCAGCAGTTATTAACTGTTAGGGCTCAGATTCACATTCTGAAAGTTATACTATAGAGCCTGTGTTCTTAGTTTCACCAAAATATCTCCTCCCAAATTATACATACCCTTTCAAACCTACCTTCCTCTTAGTAATTAATGATACATTCTTTCAATTTACATGAATCAGTATCACTATTAGTAGATGTATTTTATGCCATTATATAGCAGACTAATTCATTCTGTACTCTACTGTGATATTTTCCTCTATCTTCTGCAAGATTTTCATTTTTAAAAATTACTGTCTTGGCTGGGTACAGTGACTCATGCCTGTAATCCTGGCCTGGGCAACAAGAGCGAAACTCCGTCTCAAAAAAAAAAAAAAATACTGTCTTGAAATTTGCATAACATCTATGGATGATGTGAATGTCCTGGCAGTGATGTTATACTATATACTGCAATCACCAAATGGGGGTAACCAAGTGAAAGTTACATAGGCTTTCTCAGTATTATGTGAACAACTACCTAAGACTCTACGGTTGTATCAGTTTCAAAGAAAAACTTCCAACACACAAGATAATCTCCAAACATATTGGGCATACATGTGTGTACTACTATAGCTGTTTCCTTGGGATAAATTCTAAAAAGTGGGATTTTGAGTCAAAATGAGACTGTGGTTAAGTACCTGCAACATCCTGTAGACCCTGTGACATTAGTACTTGGAATGAGAGCGTGACTTTACGATCCAGCAAGCAAGGGACACTGAAAAGCAGCTCGGGCAGCCTGTGCTGGCCGGTGGTCTGCAGAGAATTCCAGGTGACGCTTCAGAGGGCCTAGGAGAGGATACCCTTCTGAGGACAGCCATGGCTCGCCCGGCATCACCCCACTCAGAGGCCAGACGGGGTCCCAGATGGGGTGACACAGCCCGTCTCCCAGTCGGGAAGGGGCGTCTGCAGGGAGCAAGATGGACTCAGTGTGAGGCTGCCTGCCTGGAACGCGCCCTGAGGCCCCTGCCTGGGACCGTCCCGGACTACGTTTCCCAGCGGCCCCCAGGAACTTAAGGCGCTGCATGCTGGGACACGGGGCTTGGGGCTCTGGTTTCCCCAGACATGGTCCGGCGTGCTCCTCAAGCCTCTCATCCCTTCCTGAAGCCTCTGTGTGTTTGGGCCTGAGTAGGGCATTCGCTTCCTGGGAGGAACCCAGGGGTACATGCCAAGCACTGGGGTAGGGGGACCGCCGAGTGCGCCCGCGGCTTCGGGAGAGGCCAAGGAAGGAAGGAGTGGGAAGAGTGCGCGCACGCGTGTCGGTGTGTTCATGTGTCAGCGTCTGTGCACGCGCACATGTGTGTCGGGGTCTGGTTGCACATGCGTGTCAAGGTCTGGCCACACACATGCGTTGGGGGTCTGTGTGCACGCACACATGCGTATCGGGGTCTGGGTGTACATGTGTGTCGGGATCTGTGTGCACGCACATGCGTGTCGGGCTCTGCTGCTGCTTGCGCGCGCTCGCAGCTAGGTGCTCGAGGCCTCTCCCGGGTCCGGGGTGCGCATGCGCGCTGGCCTCCATGGGTGGCGGGACCGAGTGTGTGACGCACTTGCGTGGGAGTACGAGGCTGACGCGGCGGCCCTGTCCCCGTAACCGTGACACGGGTGCACGCGAGCGTCATTGGGGGCGATGGGGGGCGTGCTGGGTGCGCTTCTGCACTGGTGACGCAACCGCTGTGTCTCCGCCAGTCTGCGCAGGTGAGATTGGCGCCCATGGCTCCCAGGGGAGACGGGCACTGAGCTTCTGACGGTGACGCACTTGCTGGAGAGTGTGGGGTGACACAGCCGGGCTCGCCCCATAACTGGTGACCGGGGGTGCCCCAGAGGCTTTGGGTCGATGGAGCCCACACCTGTGAACCTCGGCGGTGCGTCCCGGGGACTCTGCTCTGTGAGGTGCACTCTGGGGGTTGTGTGGGGGCAGCGGTCGGGACGGGGCTCCGTGGCCCACGGATGCACCTTTGCACTGTGGTGCATCACAGCGTGGCCGTGCTGGGCGTTAGTGGGTATGAGGGGCGCAGATGTGTCTCGGGACAGCGTGTGCTGTGGTGAAGCTGCGCCGTCCGTGCAGGCTTGTGCTGGGATAGGTGATCGGGCCTTCTGGGTGACGCAGGTGTGTGTGACAGCTGCAACCTGTAGCTCCAGCGTCTCTACTGCTTCCCCTGCCTTTACCTCTTAACCAAGCGTTACCTGCCTGAGAACAAGGGCCACGGAGGGACATGAGCCCCTGAGCCCCGCCAGGAAATTCACCAACAAGAAGGCAGAAACAGCCATGAGGTGACGCTTTCAGAGCCAGAAGTGCTCTCCACTCAGGCCGCCTGAGCGACAGGAGACAGTGGCCTCAGGAGTAGAATTCCTCCTATAGAGGGGCACGTGCCTGATGTGGGAGACAGGGGGAGGGGCAGTTCCACGCTTCATCTTCTCAGTCATTTCAGCTTGCTCTTCAGGAATCTCCCAGAAACTCCATCTCGGGGCCTTGTATTTCTCTTTGGTTTTATTAGCTATGGCAGGTGTTACCCTTCTGGTTCTGTTTCCCCCAGGCCAGCATCCTTCAGGAAAAGCATCCCCAAGGAGGAAGACGAATCGTTAAACATCTTAAAGGGTCAGGTGAGTATCCTTTTTTTAAAAAAATTAAATGATATGTGTTTATAAGACTTAAGACCAAACATTAAATGTAGATGACCAAGATCTGAGTCCTGTTTCTGCCTGTTAGCTTTTTGAGCCTTCTGAAGATAGGCTTGTGAGGAGGGTGAAATGCGTTAACATGTGTAGAACCCATAGACCCGCACGCTGGAGTGTGAGTGCGCAGTGAGTGCTGCTGTTATGTGCTGCGTCTGGATGTCTGTACATCAGGAGCAACGTACATATGAAGGTAACTGGGATGTGTGTTTGCAAGTTCACAAAATGAACCACAGCCTCAAATGGTCTAGAACTGTTATCCTTAACCTGAGGGCCTTCCATAAAGTGAACCACAGCCTCAGATGGTCTAGAATTGAAATCCTTAACCTGAGGTCCTATTTTTTTGTTGTTGTTCGTTTTCGTTTTGTTTTGTGGGATTGTTTTTGGAGACAGGGTCTCACTCAGTCGCCCAGGCTGGAGTCCAGTGGTGCAATCACAGTTCACTGCAGCCTTAACCTCCCAGCCTCAAGTGATCCTCCCACCTCAACCTCCCAAGTAGCTGGGACCAATTTTTGTATTTTTTGTAAAGATGGGATTTCACTATGTTGCTGAGGCTTATCTCGAACTCTTGAGCTCAAGCAACCTGCCCGCCTCAGCGTCCCAAAGTGCCAGGATTAGAGGCATCAGCCACCATGCCCAAGCTGTTTTGTGTGTGTGTGTGTGTGTGTGTGTTTTTTTTTTTTTTTTTTAAAGAGATGGGGTCTCACTTTGTCACCCAGGCTGGAGTACTGTAGTGCAATCACAGCTCACCATAGCCTTGAATTCCGGGGCCTAAGGGATTTTTCTCTCCTTTCCCACCTGAGTAGCTGGGGACTATAGACGTGTGCCTACAGGTCCAGCTGATTTTTTTTTTTTTTTTTTTTTTTTTTGAGACGACGTTTTGCTCTTCTTGCTCAGGCTGGGCTGGAGTACAATGGCATAGTCTCAGCTCATTGCAACCTCTGCCACCTGGGTTCAAGCGATTCTCCTGTCTCAGCCTCCCAAGTAGCTGGGATTACAGGCACCCACCACCACACCCAGCTAATTTTTGTATATTCAGTAGAGTCAGAGTTTCACCATGTGGGCCAGGCTTGTCTCGAACTCCTGACCTCAGGTGATCCTCTCACCTGGGCCTCCCAAAGGGCTGAGATTATAGGCTTGAACCACTGTGCCCTGCAAGGTCTAGCTGATTTTTAACTCCATTTATAATTTTCCAAGGAACATTGTATATACACTTACTGTGTATGTTTATCAATGTCCTTTTTTTCCCCTCCGAGGAGATATTCTATAATTTTGTGGCATTAAGGAGGCCATGAAAGACATTTAGACTTTTTACCTGTCCCAAAGACATTTAGACCATTGCTATAGAATCAAGGACATTTAGACCACTGCTGCAGAATCAAGGACTGTGTTACCTTGACCACAATTACTGTTCAGGATGATTCAAATGATTAAGTAATTATACGACATTCATTTCATAGGATACTCTGCAGCTACAAAGAAGTAAATTTAGAGATAGCCATAAGAAAGAAGAGTGCATACTGCGTAATATTAAGCACTGCTAATAGTTATCAACAACAGTATGTGTCAAAATTACCTAGAAATCCCATTGAATTAGACATTGGAAATATCCAACATGACAATTGATTATTCAGTGAAGGAAGAGAGGAGCCTGGTCACATTTATTAAGCACATCTCTGTACTAAACTGTCTTTTGTCTATTTTGCATACACTTCTTAATTCTTGTCTTGGTTGATTCAGTCTGTTATAACAAAGTACCATAGACTGTATGACCAAAAGGGCAAACTTTTTCTTTTTTTTTTAAGAGACAGGGTCTCACTATGTTGCCCAGGCTGGTCTTGATCTCATGAGCACAAGCTCTCCTCCCACCTTGGCCTCACAAAGTGCCTGGATTACAGGTGTGAGCCACCGCGTTGGGCTTTTTTTGTTGTTTTTGTTTTGCTTTGTTTTGTTTTGTTTTTGAGACAAGGTCTCACTCTGTCATCCAGGCTGGAGTGCAGTGGCGTGATCATAGCTCGCTGCAATCTCAGCCTCCTGGGCTCAAGCAGTCTTCCCACCTCAGCCTCCCAAGTAGTTGGGGCTACTGGTGTGTGTCACCACACGTGGCTGTATATTTTTATTTTTATTTTGAGGCGGGATCTCACTTTGTCATCCAGGTTAGGGTGCAGTGGCATGACCTCGGCTCACTTCAGCCTCTGTTTTCTGGGCTCAAGCAATCCTCCCACCTCAGCCTTCTGAGTAGCTGGGATTATAGGTGTGAGGCACCAAGTCTGGCTTTTTTTTTTTTTGGTAGATACGGTGTTTCACCATGTTGCCCAGGCTGGTCGTGAACTCCTGAGCTCAAGCAATCTGCCTACCTCAGCCTCCCAAAGTGCTGGGATTATAGGCGTGAGGCGCCACACCCAGCCAATTTTTAAATATTTTATAGAGACAGGGTCTTGCCATGTTGCCCAGGCTAGTATCAAACTCCTGAGCTCAAGCAGTCCTTCCATTTCCACCTCCCAAAGTGCTGGGATTACAGGCATCACCCACTGTGTCCAGCCACAACAAGCATTTATTTCCCACAGTTCTGGAGTCTGGAAGTCTGATACCAGGGTGCCAGTGCAAGCAGATTCCGGTGAGGCCCTCTTGCAGGTTGCAGGCGACCACCCTTGTGCTATGTCCACACATGGTGAAAGGGAGCCAAGAGCTCTCTGGGATCCTTTTTATAAGGCACTAATCCTATTCCTGAGCACTCCTCCCTCATGTCCTGATCACTTTCCAAAGGCCTTATGTCCTAATACCATCACACTGGGGTACAGAATTTCAATATAGGAATCTGGGGAGGAATAAAATACTTAGTTTATCTGGTATCTTCAGAGGCTATTTAGGTACAGTATTGTGCTCAGGGTCAGTGTGTATAAAACCAACTCATTTTTCTTCTCTCACACCACAACAATAATCAACACAGAAAACTCTGTGACTTGGCCAGGCGCGGTGACCCACCGCCCACCCCTGTAATCCTAGGACTTTAGGAGGCCGAGGTGGGTAGATCACTTGAGGCCAGGAGTTCAAAACCAGCCTGGCCAACATGGCGTAACCCTGTCTCTACTAAAAATACAAAAATTAACTGGGTGTGGTGGTGCATGCCTGTAATCCCAGCTCCTCAGGAGGCTGAGGCAGGAGAATCGCTTGAACCTGAGAGGCTGTGAACCTGTGATGAGCTGAGATCACGCCACCACACTCCAGCCTGGGTGACAGAGCAAGACTTTGTCTCAAAAAAAAAAAAAAAAAAGCTTTGTGACTAAATGTGTGGGGAGAGGCAAGCTGTAGTGGGCATCAGCTGGTGTCCTGCAGTTCAATTCTGACACCATCTACCTGGATATGGCATCAGATTCCACAGGTTGTGAGCAAGACTGTCCCACTCTGCCCCACTAGCCACAAGACCAGGCCTCTGGGACATCTTGCCAACCCTCTGCAGGTTGGGGTTCTTATAACATACTCTTTGGCTTCTATTAATGTATTTGATTGACTCATAATTCAGGGAAACACATATACCAGTTTATTACACAGGATATTTTAAAGGATACTAATGAACAGCCAGATGAAGAGATACGTAGGGCTAGGGTTGGAAGAGTCCCAAGCACGGGAGCTTCTGTTCCCATGGAATTGGGGTGTGAGTGAGTTATTTTATACCTTCCTATCAGACGCCTCTTGTTCAGCAGTCCACAAGCTCTCCTCACCCTGTCTTCTCAGGCCGTTTATGGAGACTTCATTGGATCGTTGTGACTGAAGCATGCACGAATGTGTTGAAATGTGATTGGACAACTAGAGTTGATCTAATGGTAATAGACTGAAGGGGGAAACTCAAGGCCCATCTGTTCAGATTCTTCTCGGCCTCTCAGTGCAGCATTCCTTTCTACAGGTATAGGGCAGGACCTTCTCTGGAGTGAGAGTCCTATTTTGGGCAGGTGAAAGGAGGACAAGAGAAGATGAGAGAGAGAGAGACAGAGATTCTGCTTCCTGAGGCTTGCTTCTGAGGCTGAAAGTGCCCTAACATTAAGATTGTATGAAGGGTTATGGGATTATGAGCCAGGAACCATGGACAAGAACATACACACACACACACACCCCCCCCATATATACACACCTACATATATATACATCATACACACATATACACATACCTCATATGTACACACATATACACACCTACATATATACACACACCATACACACACCCCATATACACACACACACACCTATATGTATAGACACACATATATACACACCACACACACCCCATATATACACACATATACACACCTACATATATACACAGATATACTCCTACATACACATATATATATACATATACACCTACATATATACACCATACACACATATACACACACCATATATACACACATACACATACTCCATATGTGCATATACACACCTACATATATATACACATATACACGCCATTCACACACACATACCCCATATACACACACCCCATATGCACACACATCCCATATAGGCACCTATACACACCTACATATATACACATATGATATAAAAACCATACACATACACACCCCATATGTACAGATATACACACCTACACATATACACACACACACCCCATATATACACAAATATACACACCTACATATATACACACACCCCATATATACATATACACACATATATACACACATATACACACTTTGTGCATATACACACACCATAATGCACATATGCATATGCACACGTATGCATGCCATGCACACATGGGCATGAAGGTGAAGAAAGTGAAAAGAAACGAAAAAAAAGCGTGAAAAAAAAGCGTGTGTGTAAAAAAAAAAACATTGCGCGTCATTGGGCGTATGCTTCATGTGCCACACACATGTGTGCGTATGTGCCACACCATGCGCATGCACGTA